ACAAGCTTGAAATTGATTAAGAACGGTAAAGGAGCCATTAACGCGGGAAAACACGGGGAACTGAATGCTGGTTCAGAGGCAAGCAATTAGCGCCTGGTTTTTCAACGCGACCGTGTCGCAAGAAACCGCGGAATTTTTCGCGACTCTACCAGCCTCTGCTCGCTTGGAATACGAGATAGAAGCACGCTATCGTCGCAAATATCCTTTAAATTGAACTTTTTAAAGCTCGACAAAGTTTTCTTCCAACGTAGAAATGAAGAAATCCAGAGTTTACAGATATCTAAATCTCTGGAAGAATTTTGTAACGTAATATAATCATTCTGTAATTGCTAATTTTAGATCATAGTATCATCTATCCACTTTTCACAATTTCTACATTGAGATGATAAGTTTATTAATCGCGGGATAAGAGACGTCCACTATCGCTGAAAATGATAGAGTTGGATTTTACATGGTGACCGTATCTCTCGCTCTGATTAAGACATTCTTGCAAATCCAACTACTCGTTCCACGGCTCGTAATTATCGGATTCTCGATTAAGCGGCGCGGATAATATCGAACGGGAGAGTCGTGACTGTATCGCGAATAGCGGAATGCTCCCCGCGTGCATTGACAGTAAAGCGGCAATTTGTTGACCCGTAGTTTATCAGAGATAAAAAAAAAACTCTACAAGCTCATTGTTCGCCGGAGGTTTTTTCTCTCTCGTTAAAAAGCGGAATTCTCGGTTGGAGGTCTTGAACAGTCGTTGCGACTCGGATTTAATACGGATTCGAGGGACCGGGGATTGCGGTTATTTATCGCGGTCTTTCTTCCTTCTTTAGGAGTTTATTTAAGAGCGGAGTTAGCGGAGGGCTTGAAAGAGTAATTGAAGGTAGAGTTTAGTTTGATATCCCGGATTAACGCCGGGGGAAAATGTCGGAGAACCAGTACGACGAAAGTCGTCGTGTAATTTGGGGATTAATCGGTGAAAAGCTTCAGACAGATGTAGCGGAGGTAATTGGTGTACTTGGATAGCGTTAAGCCAGGGAAAAATTGCTTAAAATTGGGTGTAATTAGAGACGATATCACGTATAAATGTAGGATAGCGTGTACAAAGTATAACACTTTCGAAATCGACGAAGAGAAGAGTGCAAATGACCAGTTTCTTTCGTGAAAAATTGACGTGTGCGGGTTCGATGATAAAATATAGGATACTCATATGCACTTACCAAGCTTTCGAGACTCTCAAGACCTATCGAAACTTTAGAAACTCAACACCATCGAGAGATTTAAGTATCGAATTTTTGCCCGCTTAAAATCTCGTCTTCCCTCCGCCCGCAAAGTGTCGAATTAGGTCCGAAACCTCGAATCGTTTCGAAATTGAGATTCAAATTCTACGCAGACCAAATCATTTTCACCCTTGAAGAAACACCAAAAAAATAAGGTCTATTCGATGGAAGAAAAAGGCGACGTTAATAACAATCGCGCAACTTTCACGGGAAATATCGTCGCCGCAACTCCGCAAGGCAATTTGCAGCGCGTGCTCCTGCAGCCTCCATAAATTGCACGCGACAGATCTGACTTTGAAACGCGTTGTGTCGCGGGCGGAGTTCTGCTCGGCTCGAATATCTCATAGACACGGAATCGCCAGCGGCCGGCCGCGGATCGCGCCAATTACGCTTACTCGCGCCACGCGGATCCACAGATTTTCCGCCCGCGGCCACTGAAAACCCTCGCCGCCCGCTACCTCACGCCAAACTAACGGAATTGAAAGACGATCGCCTCTCGATCTGCCTGCCAGCCTCTCTCTTTCTCTCTTTCTTTTTGCATCCACTTCATTTTGCTCTGCAACGACGTAATTTCCGTGGAGGAAGAAATTGCGGGTTCGACTGGATGTTCACGTGGTGGTACTGGTGGATAGGTGAGCAAAGATGAAGTTGAAGTTTATGTTGGTTTAGGTGCTACTGAGTATCCGGTGCATGTAACACTAGATAGTATTTTCTTCGAGATTCTAGGAAGAGTTAAACGTATCGATTTTCTGATTTTTCCTCGGTGAGAAAGTGGGAGTTTTAAGAGCGTAGTGTGAGAATTTTCAGTCGCGGTATTTCAGAGGTTTATTTAATTATACTTGATGGAAGAATATACCTCGAGAACTAACTGATAGATTTGTCAAAAATAGTCATTTCGAACGTATCGATTCTCTTCGGTGAGAAAAATTTATCGAATTACGCTTGACGACACAACATGTCCTAACAAACAATTGACAAATATCTCAGAAAATAGCCATTTTAAACGTGTCGACTTTCCAATTTCCGTTCGGTGACAAGATTTCAACTTCAAGAGCACATTTCCAACAAAAATCGTGCACGTATAATTCTCCAAAGACTCAAAGTAGTCCATTTTTAACGAGGCCTCCGCATCTCGTTCTCCTCACACCACCGACAAGTAGCGACTACATCCGCTTTTTCCACCGGAACCCGGACAAGATTAATCATTCGCCTCCTCTCGCTTTCGATCTTCTCACAGAGATTACCTCGGGTATAATTAACGCGGACGACTTCGGCCGGCAAAGTCGATCGATGATCGATGGAGAAACGGGGACCACCCCCGCTCGGTGGAAGTTGGAACGATAAACGTATCGCCGGCGATTCGTCGCGACCGCCTACGTGAAACCGAAGCGTGTAAGTACGCTCCTCGTGGTCGCGCGACCTCGCAAGATTAACGGGCATCTTCAGAGATTCTCTCTGCGCTGAACGTTCCCTCGTCCCACGCCTAACACCTTCCGCTCCATTTAGCCAGCGCCGCCAGCGAGCAAATAATAATTACGCGGAGCGAACAGGATGATCCGTCCGCGTAACGCAAACAAGAAAACCGTACGAAATGTCTTAACGAGAGCTCAGCTCCTCTGTCGCCTTCTCTTCCTGTCGTTTCTCTTTTGTGTGCGTTGCAGGCAGACGCGAGCTTCTTCTGGTGCTATGTCATTCTTTGCGCGTGTTGCTTGCGAGCGGCGAGCGCTTCCCGGTGAGCCGAGGTTAGGTTTCTTCGTAGAGGAGTTGTTGCTTTTGTCAAGCAAGTAGATACGAAATTTGGAATTTTTTCTTTCGTCGCGACTTTTCTAGGAATAATTTTTAATAATTTTTTCAGTTGATTTAAATTTGGAAGAGAGTTGTGTTTGGTAGTATTATCGTACGGAAAAAATCCTCATCGGGGAGGTTGGTTTCGCGTGCCGCGTTTTTAATCGAGGTTTCCCGCTCGTGGGAAACTGTCGATTTCCGCGAGGAGTCGCGGCGTTGTAATTAACAGGCCAGAAAGGAACCCCATCCCTGTCATTAGGAGGAGTTAACGTGCACGCGCGTTTAGCTGAATAACAGAAATTACACGAGCCCCGACCGCCTCATTACCGCAGGTATCACAATGATCGCAGTTGAACGTGTGCTTATCGGGAGATAACGTCGAGAACAAACCAAGAGAAAAACTGACTTCCCGGCGTTGTTTCTTTCAATTAGTCTCAAATGTACCGCAACTTTGTAGGAGATACTTTGGATCTTCAAACCTCCACAATCTTAAATTCCTACTTCAACAAACCATCCCTTTAATTACCTCACAGCAAAAATAGTAATTTTCTTCTTTCTGAAATATCCTGCATACGTATATTTTTTCTTACCGTCTCTGTATTATCCGTAGCTGTACCTCTCTCTTACCTAACACCAGCTGTAACACTTATCCAACCCGCTCTTTCTTACACACCCGTAATAAAGACGTTTAAACGAAAAAAAAAAGAAAACACTAGAAACCGGTAGATCTACTTAAAGAGTCAGTAACGTATTAACTCTGGACCACAAGCATGACTCACGTCCATCACGTTCGTCCGATCCCAACCGCAAGTCTAACTCCGCTGCCTCTCTACGTCCAAACATGGAAAAACCTCGAGATATATATATTCTCCTGCAATTACTCCGTATGGTCTGTCGAATCTAACTAAACAATCGAGCGCAGAGATCCGTCGTGTGAGACGACACACAGGAACCGTGCAGGGTTGAAGTCGGCGGGGATCGATGTCAAAGAAAGAGACCCGTTAGATCGGGCCGAGTAGAAAGGAAGTCGATGAAGTGCGACCGACGGAGTAGAAGGGGTTAGCCGTCCGCGAAGAACGAGAGAAGCCAGGAGAAGGAGGAAGTGGTGGAGCAAAAGGTGGAGGAACGAATTCATCGGTTCGTTCTATGAGAACCTAAGCTGACACGGATCGTAACGCGTTACGTCTGCTCGCCTTCATCTTCCCTCCGTGCATCGGCAGCATCGTCTTCTCGTTCATCTAGCTGCTCATCTTGCTCTCGTGAGCACATGACTCATCCTGCTGGTTGCTCGTTTCCTCGTGCCACAGAGTGTATATGTATGCGCTATGGGAACTCGCGAAGACCTCTCGTACCTGGCTGGTTTTCGAGTTCGAAGAGTAGTTTCGTATGCAAGACACACGTCGGCTGACGCATCGACCAGAGGATTCTCCTTGATCCCGCGGCGCGATTAGGCCAAGTCACGCGTGGCAATGATCCGATTATGGTTTCCCGCGATTCTATCCGCCCGTTGTCCTTCGTTATTATCGCGAATTCGCGGCCTGTTACCGCGCGAATGGACGTGCGCGTCGCGAACCTTCTCAGGATAGAGGAGAGACGCTGTTGAATCACGGCTGAGACGGAGGTTTCTCCCCCGAGGAACAAGTTCTTTAGGAGTACTTTGTGGTCATAAGATCCATGGAGATCTGGAAGATACGACAGTTTTAACCTTGGTGTGGTCTTCGGGTCTTTTTCGACCCATCGCCTTATTTTTTTGATAACTTTGGCTGTCGTTAAGCTTATGTTCCCTCAACGTTATGTTAGAAGTTTATTACCTAGGTCCCTAAAAATTATTACACATAAATTCTTTTTTGACCCAAAGACCTTAGAGGTGAACAGAAATAAACGACGGAGAAAGATTTAAGAAAAAGCACGCCTTCGGTGAAAAGAGCATCCTACTTTCTGTTCCAGGTACGCGATAGTGTGGCTACTGACGGTATCAACGATCCAGTGTCAGGTAAATTCCCTAGAAAATCCGATAATTCTCGTGAAATTCGAGGAGACCAATCGAAAGGTGAATTTTCAAGGCGACGGTTCACGAGAACGGCGAGGGGGATGGTAACGCGGAGGAGTCGGTAATGGACGAGACGACCGAGGATTATTGGGCCGGAAGTGGATCTGGTCCCGAGGAGGACGACTCGCTTCACAACGAAACCAGAGAAGCGTTAACACACGAGGCCAGCGACCACGACGCTGTGAGTATCTCTTTGATGTCGATCCAATCAAGCGTCAATTCCATCTACTCGCCTCGATATATAGCGATAGCATTCTCTCTCTAGGTTAATCTTTTTCTGATATGCTAAATTACTGTCGCGAACATCTGTCGCGTAATTTACCATCACGCGGAGAAAGAAGGCACTGTTGGTCTTTCTGCGTAATGGAGTTCGGCGATTTTTCTATTCGGACAAAAAGAATCCTTTTTTGCACACAGTTTTTCTACGTTTTCCGCATCGTTGATTGTTTGTACAACAGAGAAGAGGAAGAAGAGAGAGGTGATCGAAAGATCGACGCGTGTTTGTGTGTTGTTCGAGGATGGTTAATCGGCGAACGGTTACCCAGAAACTGCTCGTTATTTCACTTGTGAAACAACGAAGCACGGAGAAAGAGAGAAGCGATAAATAATTTTTTTCGAGCAACGATCGAGGATTTTAGCATTTCTGCAACCTGGTGTGCCCGCTGAACTGAATACCAACGCAACAATGTAACAAATCGCAAAAGAAACGATCGTAGAGCGTAGCAAAGAAGCGTAGTATTCTACTAGAACCACGAGCGAGTACGTTTCTTCTCTTCGACAATTGTGAATTATACTCGTTCGGAATTCACAAAAGGATACCGAACGATAGAGTAAATTGGACGACGGATGGTCCACTTTTGGCCGGTGAACAGGTGTGCGTGTAGATCAGGGGCAAAGTTAGATAGACGATAAGTGCGTTCACCTAGCCTCTCATCTGACCGATCATAGCTCGACTAATGACTTTCGACACCCTAACCGCGCGACCGTTAATCATCGCATGAGCGCGCGTGTCATGATGAGACTCGAGAGACCATAGGCAACCGGCCACGGAAGAGAATGATCAGCTTAAAAGGAGCACACTATCCGCGAACGTCACTTTACGTTTATCCTGACACAAGCTGGAATTAGAATCGAGTGGAACGATTAGAAAGACGGGGAAGAGTTGTAAATCGCGTAGTACCTGCTTCTAATTGCTACGAAATAAAAGGTTAGAAAAATGAGAATCCTTAATGGTGCAACAACTGGAAGATAGAAATCTCTACCTCCTCGAGAGAAACGCCGAGAGATCATCCACGGTTGGAAAGTGCACTCTAGACCACCCCTAAAAGCTTCAAACGAGAGAAGAAACGATCCAGTTCCTCGGAAGCTGGCAATTCCGTCGGCTCCTCTTCACCTTACGAGTGTTTCTCAAAACGATACCACTAAGAAAGAGAGAGAGAGAGAGTTTGGAGCATCCTCAGGCCTCCCATAAAGCGGACGAAACAGAGGATACAAGGTAGAAACGATCCTGTAACCACTCTAGTGGCCCATAAACGCCGCTCGAGTTCCAGAAATGCCAGAAAAGTGGAATCCGTGAAAAGCAATAATTTCTCGACGCAACGAGAGCAAATAGAAGAGATGGAGGAAGGCTGACGTGAACGGTCTCTGCGTGTCAGTCGTTCGCGCGAGAAGTCGATTCGCGAGCGAAGTGAAGCAAAGTGGAATCCAAAGAAGCAATCGGAACGGAGAACGGCGTACGAGTAACAGGCGGAGAAACGAGGCAAAAACGGCGAAGAAGAGCGTGTAACGACACGATTGTTTCCACTGGTACCGGCATATGGAGGCTGTTTGCTCGCTTTTTGCGTTTACCACCAACCACGTGCCTACTCTTACCTGATCCAGCTTAGAGAGATTTACCGAGACAGTGGATGCACAGCGAGAGAACTCTCGGAAAGACGTACTTCTTAATTATTCCATTTTCCTGGTATTTTTCGGTATTTATCTCGAGAGAATTATGGGTGGAGAAGGCTTGTTGACTGCTTCCATTTTGAGCTTAATTTTTGATTTTATTCCCTTGTTAATAACTTTGATAATTATTAGAAAATGTTGAATATTAAATTTTACTGAAACGATATTCCACTTACGTCCATATTCTAAACGATACCACGTATCAACAGAGTGTCACAAACTCCACAATTTACTCGACAAAAATTCCTTCCCTGTGAAACACATACGTGACACGAAACAGCCTCGTAAACTGGACGATCCACCTCAGAACGACGCTTCAGTCACAAAGAAGGAATTAGTTTCCGAGATACTTCGAAAGATCCACGTGAAACAGCAAGTGCTAATACCACGGTACAAGCTACAACTATCTTTTCTCAGAATAAACATGATTTTTCCGTTGAAGTCTTTAGTGGTCACCTTCTCCCGTGCACGCTCGTACACTCATAAACTACGTGCAACGAGGATGTTAGGGAGAGGAGCGAGGAGGGCGAAACGAAGCTGGAGGATTCTTGACGATCGTGGAACAAGTGGAAGCCGCAGGTTGCGCGACAAGGGAAACCGTTTTCTTAACATATTGACGAGATTTTTCTGATGAAAATGACATAAAACACGACATAATTTTAACATTTACTTATTAACACGTTCACTGTCACGCCAGATTTACAGGTTGCTGTCAGGTGGCCACTATTCTCCACAAGTGTCAGACCGCAAGGAAGCTAAACCTGACACACGTAGAGTCAGGGACTACTTTTTCCAGCCTCGCGCCCGCCTTTGTAGTTTGCCGAACGTAGACAAGGACAGCGAATAAAAGATAAGCATTAAACGTGTGTCGAGGCAACCAAGCGATTTAAATATCAACTTTTTCAATTTTACGTTTTCTATCCCGAAATTTTTCTCAACATATTGATGAGATTTTTCTGATGAAAATGA